GGGGCGAACAAAAATCGGCGTAAGTAAATATAAGCCTCTACGGGGTCCGAGAGTGATGAGGCAATGGGGCTGGTTATACGTCTCTTATACTCATACTCACTCATACTCAATTATATTTTTTTGTAAAAATAATAAACAATGAACTGAAAATTGTATACAATATAAAATTTGCATTGTAACTAAAAATAAAACTTGTCTCGTCATTTTATTTGTTATAACTTCATTTTATCTAAAGAACAAAGCTCCCAGTTTACTTTACAGATGTTTTATTCATAAAAAAGTCATTTTCTAGATTTTAATAATGTATAACATCCAATTTTCTTCTTTGCATTATTTTAATGAATATTTATAGTAAGTAGTAATTTATTCTATTTAGCATATTCAATCCTCTGTTGCTAAATGAATTTTAGTTGCCTAAATGTACAATGCATAGAAAATGAGATTAACAAAACATTAACAAAGCCTTTTAAAAAATGGGGGAGAAGTAGCGTATCGTAAGCATTAAGGTATTAAATGTGATTTCTTTTGAATATTAAATTAAAAAATTACAAATTTACTGTAGTTTTTGCGAATTAAATTTTAACCATTTCTCTTGTCCTGTGTTTTTATAAATAATATAACGCAATTTCGGATAGTTACAAACCATAATCTAATGAACTGGGTTTTTAGGTTTAAAGCATTTTGCTTTTATACACTTTTGCATTTATAAGAGAAAATAGAAAATAAATAGCAAAATAAAAAATATGTTCAGTAACTACCTACACACAGATATTTATAGCGATTTAACTTTTTAAACGCGCAATCAACATTACAAATTTAGCAATAAAATCTGATTTAATAAATAAGTTGCATAAAAAAACTAATGTTCATAAAACGAAATAAAACAAATAAACTTGAAATAATGTATTTTGCTGAAGATTGTAGTGCTGATAACTACTTGTAAACAACATAAAACGTAATAACAAATTACAAAGTAAAATGTTAATTATGCGTGTCACGGAAGGTGCAACAATTATTAATAGGAATATTAATAAAAATATATTTGCACATTACTCTTGGCAGGAAATATTTATAGAGCCGCTTTTGGAGGCACTAATTACAATTAAGTTACATTAATTTGTTTTAAAAAGCAAAAAACTTTATAAAGCTCAAAAACCTAAAAACACGAACAATTTCGTAACATCTGTAAATTTACTGCAGCTTCAACACACTAAATGTGTTTTTTTAAGGGGAGTCTATAATTATCCTAAGAAACTGTTCCCTTTTATCACATCCACCCCGGTCTTAAATTTCAGATTTTTACAGCATTCCAGGTTATAGGCCTTTGCACCCTTAATCTTAATATAAGACAATATCCACAAAGGGGTACCTAATATTAAGATTTTGTAATTTAATTAATAATACTGATTTATGGGCTAATAAATATATTAGGTAGCTATACAAAGAACCTTTATCTAATTTTTAATTCAAAAATATAGTGTTTTTTAACATTTTAACAACACTGTACGTACGTAAGCTAGCAATTTAATATTTAATTTAATTTATCAATTTTTTAGTATTTTAGAATCTTTGTATAAAAATTCTGTCCAACTTTGCCAACCCCCAATTGAATAAAAATGAGTTTGAACTTTTTGTGTTATTTTGTTAAGTTTATTCCAAAACCTCGAAACTTTTTAAGTGTATACATATGAAATTTAATTTATGCATTTTTTAAGCAATTATGTTTATGGCTCCATATCAAATCAACCAATTTAATTTAAGAAGGTTGCTGACAAACTTTATTTATTTTTTTATTTTTGTACGTATGTTTAGACTATAATTTTAGGGTTAAAATAGTTATTTAATAATAATTTTTTAGATATTCAGTTTTATTGAGAGCGTTCATTTTGTATTGGTGTCTATTTTGAGTTTTACAGAAGTTTGCGTTAAATCGTTGATTGAAGAGGTAAAACCCATGTAAAGCTCATTTAAATATTTAAACATAGATACTTAAAATAAGATTTGGAAATAATGTTAAAAATTAGTATAAAACTACTATTATACTAAAACAACCATACAGTTGAAAAAACCGATGCTATCTTAAAAATTACTTTAAAAATCGATAATTTTTTTCGGTAGAGTAAAGTCACGATGTTTATATACAAAGTTTATATACAAAAGTGCTCTTTTAGTTCCACCCTTACTTCCTAAGAAGTCCCAAAAGCCAACTGAATGGCTTGTGCGGGTTAGGGGTAGGAACGGACCGCGGGCTTAAAGTCCCCTCCGAAGGACTATTACACAATAGGACAAACACAAAATAAACAGCCATACCCCTGGTGGGATTCGAACCAACGAGCTCCGGCTTGTAGTCAGCAGCACTAACCACTAGACCACCGTCGGCGATAAATGGTATATTGGTAAGATTAAAATTTTATAACTTGTCCGTTACGTCATTAATTTACGGATTTAGCTAAGACATTTGTATTGTACATATTTCCAAACGGCGCGCCGCGGTGCTCGACCGCTGTCATGCTTCATGTAGCGATACGTTTGTCAAAAAACAGGTTTTTGACATTTTACATTGAAAATCCAATTATATATTGGTAGATAATAGGCGTAAATATGCAAAAATATAAAATCCAAACCTAACCAAATTATTTGACAGTTATAATATTTTTCTTGTTATAAAACTATTCGCAGGGCCGTGCCGTGATATGATGCGAGGATGCGGCCGCATCAGGCGGCACCGTAAAGGGGCGGCATTAGCAGCAACATCAAAAAAAATATATAGGTACAATTTAGATTTTTCAATACTTAAAAATCTTTATGCGACACTTTTTTAGATTACTTTGTATAATTCCGGTATTAACGTAGGCATTTAGTAAGATTGACTCGCAAAAAGGCGCCTCCCCCGCATATCAAATAACAAGTGCAAGTTTATGTGGATTAATTCTTTTATATACAACCTGGGTTTGTAATTATTTTAACAAAGAAATATATTTTACCGAAAGTTTTGTAAAGGTAAAATGCAATTTTGTAAGGATTTTGTTAATTTCAAAGGTTACAGATTATTTTGTTAATGTTTAACAAATTATTCCGTTGAAAAAGTACACGTGATTTCAGGCAGCCAATCAAAACATTTCCAAGCACAACACACTTATCAACAAGTTGTGTCATCAACGGTTGTTTATAATATTTAACGGTGACAGGAGTGTTTATAATGTCATTATTGGTTTTCAAATTAAAATTAGGCGATATAGTGAAGTTAAAGTAAATCAGTAAGTGTTTTAAAAGTACTGATAGTTATATTGTACCAAATTTCTATATAATCTGATGATTTCAGAATGGTGTGTTATTTCATTTTGTGTATGTTATTTTTGTGTTCATTTATGTAGGTATGTGTTAATTATGTTTTATTTAGAAAATTGTTTAATAAAACAACATTTCTTATAACAAATTCTGTTTTTAAAAGTTCCCAATTTACAACAAATACTTTTGATACTGGGTCTTCATAAGAGTTTGTAAAAAATACAAGAATTATGGTTGAAGTTGACATGAAATTTTGTTATTAAATCTACAAAATACAGTTGGTTGTAAACTTAACTAAAAGTTATGTGGACCTGGATTAACATAAAATCTGGTTATTATTTGGTTAAAATTAACAAATAATTTTTTACTGTGTATAAATGCAAAGAGAAGAACTATAGTTGTTATACATTACGTATACAAAATGTATCCCGGATGCTGAAATATTCCATGAAATCTTTAGACGGTTTAAATTACTTGTGCCAAAATAACTTAATTTTTTTGTATCCGAACGCTTTTATAGTTTTGCGAATTTTATTACACTCCCTGTATCTGTAGCTAGTGAGGAAATAAGTTTTTCAAAATTAAAACTGATAAAAAACTACTCAGGAAAGCAAAACAAAACTTAGATATCTATCATTATTATCTATTGAATCTACATTAGCTGCCACTCTAGATTACACATCTTAAATTAACGAATTTGCTAAAATAAAAGTTAGAAGGATAAAATAATATTAAAGTTCTGTTATATTTATGTTTTTTTCAAATTAAAAATATTTTCATTTTGTGCAGTTTTCTTGGGAATCTTTAATTAATTTAAAGAGAAAACATTTAAGGGGCGGCATTTCAATAACTTGCATCATACTGAAAAAATCTACCGCACGGCCCTGACTATTCGCAGCATATATTAGTATAAAGTTTATGAAATTATATTTAAAATGTAATATTCGCACCTTTAGTGTGTACTTTTCCTGGATTTCCAAACGATTTAAATACTTAAATAATATGGAACATAACCTAGAAACCAGGCTAGGAACAGGTATTGAATTCATTTATAATTCTTGACAAATTTGTTATAACATTGTGACGTCACTTCAAGGTCATCGAAGCATTTTGAATCTTTCGACTTTTAAAACGCTGAAACGTTCTTAAAAATTGTTTGAGAAACTTCAAAAAAAAATTACATGGGTCAACACATTTGTTGTCCCCCCCATTGATTATTTTCTGCCGGCGCCCATGAATACAGGCATCTATTCTTTTTGAGATTGTGAATATATAAACAATTCTATATTAGATATCTTGGTTAACCAAAAAAACAGCAATTTGCTAGCCTGTCTGTGCTTTTTATTATTCACAAATATGTCCATCTTAAAAAAAATTAACCCCCACTTTCACACAACTACATTTATACGTTTATAACTTTCTATGCGGGATGAAATACTACAGGAAAAATCGCTCCAAGTAGAACATTTTATATTTAAAATAAAAGCTATCAGGATAAGCCATCAACCATACTTAAAGTAAGATACTTTACCCTAAAGAAGTTCTTGAAAGTCCTAAAATGGTATTTAATCAATATTATTATTTATGTTTTATAAAATTGTTTTGTAAATTAGTTTCAATTAAAAAATATTATTACCATTTTAATGAAATAAGGTGAGTTACTAAGAGAAAGCCAGAAATCTTTGTCATGGAACCTGTTCGATGTAACAAAATCAAAATGGGTCGCACCTGCCGTCTAAGAATTTAATGTTTACATCGCCGGTTTTATCCAGGTCCTTTCTCGCCGAGCTGCAGCCCATACAGCATCCGGCCTTGCATCAAACAATTATTAAAGGTAAAAATGTTCACCTCGATTCGAACGCATTCTGCAGGTGGCATCTTTCGAGGATACTTACAAAATGATGTTGTTATATAAAAGACATGTGTTAAGATTTCGTAAATTAATTTTAAGAGATTTAGCTGATAAAAAGCACCAAATAAACACTAGATACTTAGATGAACAAACTTCAATTTTAATGTCAAAGCAATCAATAATATTTAAGGAACAATAATCTGTACTCTCTAAGAAAAAAGTAAGTGATGAAGAAAAAAGGTTATAATATTACTAAATACAAAATAAAGCTTACGCTGCAGTGCGATTTCTATTCCAACATGATTATCTTGCTCTACTTGTTACTTTTGTCACGAAAAATGCCCTGATTCCTGTTAAATGACAAAACTTCAGGACTGTATTTTAAGCATTTTGTGAAAACTTGCGAAACAAAGTTATAAGAACGAGTAAAAAAATTGCATAATGGATTATAAAAACAATATCTTCACAGTTTATTATATACTTAGGAAGAATTTGGCAAAAATAAGTCGAAACGTCGCAATCTACCTACATCACGTGATGCCTTTTTGCGTTGGCAGTTATGAAACTATTTCTATCTTTTTTATTCTTGCTGTTTCGCGTGTTTTGTCTCTTTTTTTACCTAATGAATATGAGGCTGTTGACATTGGTTGCACAACTAGTGTCAAACAATTAAAAATTACCCCAATAAAAAGCCTAGGAGGTATTATTTTGGCGGAAAATTTCACAGCTGATTATGACGTTGCCGCTTTACTTCTATTGTTTATCGCACATTTTTTTAATTATCTCAAAAACTAGATGAAAGAATTGGTTTAAATTTTGTACTGTACATGGTTACCCGCTTAAAATTGACCCCCAAACTTTTTTTGAATAATTTTTTATGAATTTTTTGAATATAAGATTAGATTTTTATTTATCTAAAAAATACAGGACTGTTCAGAACTTATATACTTATATATTTACTCCATAAATAACAATAAGACTTAATATTGAGACATAATAAGCGCAAAAACACTAAACTGGTAAAGAAGAATTTATAATCTATCTGATAAAAATGAGTATAACAAAGCAAAAAAACATGACTTCGCTGCAAATATTTCTAAAATTGGTTGCAATATAAAAATAGGGGGTGTTCCTTCTTAAACACATTAAATAGAATTTTTAATAAATGCTCTCATTATTAAAAGTCTTTGTACGATTTTATGTTAATTAATCTTATACAAAAGTACTTCCCACTTAAGAATCTTTTAGACAATCTTTTAAAGACAACAATAACCTAACCAAACACTTTTTACAAAGTTTTTATATTAACAAAAATCTATAAAAATACTAAACGTTTCTTTGCTTTTTGATTTCTGTGTACCTACTTTATAAAATTCATGAAAATATGCGCCACCAGAAGTAGACCAAGGAATAATAAAAAAAGTGGCAGATTTATATCTAGAGATTATGAAGCTTGAGTTCTGCAAATTTATCTCGCTCTTATCATAACCTCGATTTAACACATTAGACAAAAGGATAGAGATTTTATTTGCGCTCATCTTTCATTCATTCAGTTTTCTTAAAATGACTGACAAAAGTTAAATATTTAATTCATATTTTGAAGTTTAGAGAAGAATTTTTTTGTTTCCTATACTATTTTCTTTCGAAGAAGAAACTTTTCATGCAAAATAAAGACACAATTACCCGTAGAATACGTCTGCACATAATGAGCGGAAACTTAAAAGCATGCATGATGCACTTTCTAAGTAACCCTTATCTCTAGTTTATACCTTACACCATTCTTGCTAATGTTTCCTTTTGTATAAAGGTAAAACGATACAAGCGACACATGTATTTAAATACATGAATCCTAAAGCAAAGCATATAAACTATGCAAATAAACTAATATTATTAAAATTTACAAAAAGTTCTAAGACAAATTTAAAAAAAAATTGCTTGATATTTTTTGTCTTCTACGAATTAGTTAGTTAGTGAATGGCCGATTTTTTTATATATACAAAAAAAGTTTATGTACTTCCTATAAGAAGTCCCAGAAGCCAACTGAATGGATTGAGCGGGTTAGGGGTAGGAACGGACCGCGGGCTTAAAGTCCCCTCCGAAGGACAAACACAAATAAACAGCCATGGGATACGAACCCACGACCTCTCGGCTTGTAGTCAGGAGCACTAACCACTAGTCCACCGTCGGCGGTATTAAACAAATAATTGGACTATATGACATAAAGAAGGCCATTCTATTTTTTTGCAGAATTTGACCTCACAATAAACGTCGTTAAATTTGGACGCGATTGGATATCATGTGATTTTTGATCTACAAAATACGCAAGATAGGTACAAAATTTATTTGTAGATAAAACAATTTTTACAGAAATACATTCTTGAAATTTTTTTGTATCATATATTTTCCAGAGATAATTCAGCTTAAATCCATTGTTTCTATAGAAATTGAATGAATCATAATGTATGATAATTATCATAATTATCATATTTTTTGTGGAAAATTTGCTTTACATAAACGGCCTCTATTCTATTTTATATATCGACTGGAATTCCCAATTTTTAACAAAAAGTATACTTATGTATATATTATGTAGAAAGGGCCATCCATTAAGGATGTCCTATTTTAAACGGAGCATGTTGGTTCTTTGCATATCTTAAATGTATACAAATTTATACATTTAATTTTATAAATACACATACATTCAATTATATAAAAACACAAACACATTGTATTTTTGCAAAATATTTTCAGCACAATTTTACGTAATAATTCAACCTGCATCCCGTATTATTCCGCACACAATCTCAATGATATAAATAGAACCAACACTTTTATTCCATTACATATTTTCGCGATAACAGAAAATTTAATTTTCTTTGTGGTTGCAACTTAAAATACTACATTGGCTCGAGCATTTCCGGCCGTATTATTTTGAAAGTGGGTATATGGAAAAGTTTCCCGTCCGACAGGAACATATATTATAATACTGATACTTTTCCAAGATAATTGAGTTGATGCTTGCAAATGTGCCTAGCTTCTATTTGATCGCAGATAGACGACTTTTGTCGATGTTAATCAACGTGAATTCAATTCCAACAGAGAGACAGTTCAGGATTTTTAGTCAGTTTAAACGCATTGGTGTCGTTGATATTTAAGGATATAAGCTATAATAGTATATTATTATACGAGAGATAAGACAGGCCATTATAAACAAAGATGAGGTGTGCGTCTCGAGTCGCCAGACGAGAGACTTAAATCATCTTATTGAATAATGCGCATAATCTTGAGTGTGATACTATACTTCTACGCCAATAAGTAGATAATTATTTGATTTTCAAAAATAAATAAATAAAATTTGACACCTCTCAAATGGTTAACCTCACTTTTTAGCAATTTTAAATGTTATTATAGTCACCTTCTGCTAATTTAAAATCTGATTGGTTCAAATCACAGTGATATTGATATCGACCAATCACTGATGCATATAGGCAACAAGGTAAATAATGATTTCATTATTCTCGTTTTAAGGCAGGGAATTTATAATGTTTATGATTATTCACGGAAAAAAATTCAATACTATGGAGTGGATAAAATAATAAAGTAAAATAGTATATTAAAAAAGCATCGAGTTTTTTAAGAGTGCAATAAAACGTATAAGTATAAGTATACGTCTATATACTATTTCTTGTATTTGCTAAAATTTTGAGAAAAATGTCGAATTAAAATGCATATTATGATTTACTTTGCAGTTGCTACCAACTGTCATCTCAAATCTCAAATCTCATCTTAACCTCCAAAATCAGAAATCGCTAGAACAATATCTTTGGAACCGAAGTTCATTGAAATACTGACATATCGTATTACAAAATTTGTAAAAAAAATCTTTATGATAACACATTGTTGCACGCAAATAAAAAAGAAAAAAAGTATTTTTATTGATATTTTTATATAATTCGTAGAGTGCTAAAAAAAGTATGATTGATCACAGACCATTCAACTTTAAGTACAAATGTAAATGTTGAGCGTACTTGGGTATCTAGCACCATTAAAATGTAAAATATCATACCTACTCTCGTAGTTTATAAAACAAATATACTCGTATGTTAAATTGTGTGTTGATTTTGCCATTAATAAACTTAATGCCATATACCCGCAAATGGATTAAAACCGCAGCGCGTTTCTAAAGAGAAACATAAACACTCCAGAATGCGTTAATACTTAAATAATATTATGTTTTTACATATGTACGAACTTTAGGTATGAGCTGTTGGATTTTTGAGAGAAAGAGAAACGTTAACAGTTAAACAAATAAGGTGCATAAAATCAGATGTCATTAAAGTTGGAAGAACTCAAATGGCTCAAATAACAAACTTTGTAGTAGAGGATCCCAAGTAAGGTCGACCTTCACCCATCTGCTTACCAGATGAAAATTATATTTTATCAAATAAAATATGTTTCTGAACATAAACCAATAGGGTTGCCATAAAAAATATGATCAAGGCTAGCTATAATAAATAAAAAATTTTAAAAAAATAATTAATTTTTTAAATTTCACCGACTTGCTTGCCAAATGAACGAAATTCCAATGGAAAGCATACAACATACAGAATATGTAACAGCTAGGTTGCCTACCTTTTTCTGGTCCCTATTACCTGGTTGCTTTGTACAGGGTGATCCCCTATAATGTCGCCCCCCTTTAACTTTTTTATTATAAGTGTCCCAAAAAATTTAAAAGTTTGGTTATGTAGGTACTAAAAAATACTTTTTTTCTACGTATAAAGAAAATTGGAAAATTGATCAGTATACAGGGAAAAACAAAAAGTTTATTTTTTTTCAATGGATCACCGTATATATGAATTTATTTTTCGATTCCTTGTAAAATTCTGAGCATAATTTATATAACAAACCATATACCTAAATTCAACCGTTTCTGAAATATTCGCATTCGAAATGTCATCATTAAATGTTTTTTTAAACTGTTAGAAATCAAGAAGCCTCAGTATACCAAAAATTTTATTGAAAATAAATTACTATAGTGACATTATGTCAATAAGTGTTGTTAAATAAGTAAAAATGGCGTACTCAGACAGAGAAAAACAAACTATTTCAACTTATTATCTTAAAAATAATTTAAATATTTCAGAAACGGTTGAATTTAGGTATATGGTATGATATATGAAATATGCTTAGAATTTTACAAGGAATCGAAAAATAAATTCATATATAGGGTGATCCATTGAAAAAAATAAACTTTTTGTTTTCCCTGTATACTTATCAATTTTCCAATTTTCTTTATACGTAGAAAAAAAGTATTTTTTAGTTCCTACATAACCACACTTTTAAATTTTTTGGGACACTTAAAATAAAAAAGTTAAAGGGGGGCGACATTATAGGGGATCACCCTGTACAAAGCAACCAGGTAATAGGGACCAGAAAAAGGTAGTTACATATTATGTATTACGTATTATGTATGTTGTATGCTTTCCATTGGAATTTCGTTCATTTGGCAAGCAAGTCGGTGAAATTTAAAAAATTAATTATTTTTTTTTTAATTTTTTATTTATTATAGCTAGCCTTGATCATATTTTTTATGGCAACCCTATTGGTTTATGTTCAGAAACATATTTTATTTGATAAAATATAATTTTCATCTGGTAAGCAGATGGGTGAAGGTCGACCTTACTTGGGATCTTAGACTATTGGTAGGTATATCAACTTACAGTTTGATGTTTACTTTGTCTAATTTTATTTATTGAATCTTAACGCAGGGTCGGATTTAATTAATCGAGAAATATTAAAGTAATTCATTAATACTGTCATGTATTAAAGGATTAAATTTATTTTTGTAATTAAATTTAGCTAAGTTTTAATTATTTTAAAAGTTACCTTATGAGAAGAAGAAGGCAAATTTATCCTGAAATTTAAAGTAATATTGCTTTAAGTCTTTGGTTTTAATCCATTAACAAACTTTGTGTAACAAGTAGTCCCAATTAAAATTTGCTATTAGCAAATTGTTTTATAAATCTTTAGATTTTTTGCATATAAAAATTACATAAACTTTTCCAGCATCTCAAATAGGTATATCGAAATAATAACATAATTTTAGTTATGGCAGGAAACTTATACATACAAATGTATTTTACACGAAATATAGTTAGTTTGAAAAATACCCAATTGTTGGCACGTTAGCATGCATCTACTTTTGGAGGAATCAGAAATTGTTGTCTATTTAAACAATCTTATAACGAAAATGTGATACGTTTTTTTATCGGACTTTCTTTTTTATGTTAACTAAGATCCAAATATTTTATAATAACTCTACTTCCTAAGAGTACTACAAATATTACACGACGTATTTTAACCTATTATTGGCACTAAAATCTAATTACTGGCACATGTGATTTTCTAGTTGTTGGCAGTACAACCTAGTTATTGGCATACTTCATTTTCCATTTATTGGCACTGCTAGAAAATACAAAATGGCATAAAAAATAATAGGTAGAACCAGACATTTTAGTGATTATGAACTTTTTTAATAATAGAAACAAATACAAATACATATACCTATATGGATACACAGTTAGGTAATTACTCTATAGTTATAAATAATAGTTTATACAAATGAAAATAATTATTTCTTGGAACAGGTTGGACAAATGAATTCTTCCTTATATAAACCTTTTCTGATTAGACAAGTTTGGTGATACGTTCGAGAGCATTTGTGACATTTAATTCCCAAATTCGTCATGTAAATAGACTTAGTGCAGATAAAACAAATCCCTCTTCGAATGATAACATTATTTTTGATAGCTTTAAGACTATTTTCTGGTTTTTCAATATTTTCTATGTCTGGTTTTATTTTTAAATTGCTCTCGAGTAAAATATTTGATAATACTTTTATTTGTTTTGAGTCTTTTTCAGTTTCATTCGTTTTCGTAATTGTACAATTTCTCTTATTAGTAGCTGATTAATATTAATATTAAAATTTTCCATGTCATTACTTAAAAATAAATTTCTTACGTGCACATTATCTTCTGCTCTTTTTTTCACCTTGCCTATTTCATTGCTCTCGAGTAAGATTTTTGAAATTATTTGTTTGGAGTCCTTTTTAATTTTATCTGCTTCTGTTGCTGTACACTTTCTATTGTTAGACTTTTTGGTTTTAATTCGATTATTAGGACATTTTTTATTTTTTATTTTTTCCTCCTTTAATTTCTTTTTCTCAATGCGCGTGGCTAGTTTTCTTGCCTTTTCCTTGTCTTTTTCTGTATTTTTCCCCATTTTTTCTTCGCACACTTTCTTAAAGGCTGAAGAAGTTATCACAAAAGGTAATCTATCCGTTTGTCTTTTGCCTGATCGTTCTGGCGTCTTTTGCCACAATAAATAATTTTCGATATTACTATTATCAAGATTAATTTCACTGCTCGTAGTTTCATTGGTATGTGGGAGATTATCGTTTTCAGCAAGAAGTATAACTGGCATATTCATTATTTCGTCCGCGCTATAACTAGCTGTATTGTCTTCTTCAGGTGAATCATTCTTTATCTCATTCAAATTATATTCATTTGGGGTTACAGTAGTTTGTTTGTTCATAGAAATAACTGTTAGTTTTTCCTTAATGTTAGTTTCACCATCCTTCTCGTATACTTCCTGAATTTCACTAGTACTACTAGCAGCGTAAAATTCATTAAAAAGTCTAAAAAGGATTTGAAACTCTTCGGAAAAGTTTGTGATCTCTTTATTTGACATTTCTTCTAGCTGTTGAATTTTTGTGGGTCCAACTATATTTAAAAAGTTTTCATAGCTTAAAGATGTTGTTACCAAGGATGAAACTGTTTCTTGTTGATAATTTTCTACATTATTTTGCTTACCAAGACACTTCGAAAAGTCAATAGAATTAGTATTCCATGGACAAAGTCTACAGGCAATAAACCCATTAGAAATTTTTTCTTTTGATAATTCTGAAATTACATTTTTAAGTATTGGAGCGAAATTAGCTTTATTTAAATTTATATATGGATTTTCTCTTCTCCATTTTAGTACACCATATTTCCAATATGCTTTCAGTGGTCTAAAGCAGGACACATCTGCCGGCTGGAGGATTCTAGTCGCATTCGGGTACAATGCTATTAATATTATTTTTAATTTACTACAGAGATTACTAATTTGGTATGTCCGTCTACAAAGAATATTATTGGAAATTTAACATTTTTCTTTTGCAATGATGGGTATAAAATGTTGCCTATATACTCGAAAAAAATTTCGGACCATCCATCCATTGTCAGATATACCTGTAAATAATTACATTATAAACATCTTACCTACTGTAAGTTAAATTTAACTTACCAATACTTACCCCAACCTTCAGGAACACTTTCTGCTATATTTTGGGGTATACGTTTGTACGGATAGATGACCATAGGTGGAGTAACATCACCAGAAGATGAAAAAGTAAACATTACAGTGATGTTTTCTTTAGCATTGCCTTGATCTACTTCATAGACATTTTTACTGCCTCGAGGAGCTAGGACTTTACCACATAGGCATAGTTGAAAACAAGTTTCATCACCATTATAGACCCGGGTTGAATCGTCCAAAATATCAAAATAGTTTTTTTCTTTTAAATATAATTCTATATCGTGAAACCACTTGCGAATGTCCTTCTCCGAAACATTGCCGCTGGCATTCGTCACTGCTTCTGGTGTTCTTGTAGACAGAAGTGGATGACGATTAAAAAAACTTAAACCAATGAATACCAGGAGTATTGTTTTTAAACGGGTTTGGTCTAGGATTCTTGTCTAGAAATGTTTTAACTGATGCTAATATATCATCTTTTCTTCTAGGGAATCCTTTCTTACAACTATATAAAATCCACTGTACAAGTGTCATTTCTTCATCCTGACTTAGATAGGTATTTGGACCATGTAGAGTTTTTGTAAACTTTTGCCCTAAGCGAAATTGTAATGTAGATCGCGGAACCATGTACTTTCTTGCTGCAGCTTTCTTAGGAACACCGCGCTTGATTTCGTCTAAAGCTTTTGGAATCGTTTCTTCAGTGTATTTTACTTTAATCTTTGCCATCTAAACTAAATTAATAACTTTACAATCATACCTATTAGGGATGATATGTTAAAGTGCCAATAACTGGTAAATCTGCTATTATATAAATTTAACTAATCGTTGGCACCAGTGCCAATTAATGGATTTTACATTTTTATCTTACCAGTTGTTGGCACCCTAATAATTTATTATTTCCCGCCTAAAAAGTGAGGTTATTTAAAAGATTTTTTAAATTTAAGGCTATTACTACCACTCTATCAATATACAACTTGCTAAAGTAATAAATGTATTTATAACAAACATTATTACAATTGCGTTTTTTACAAAAACAATGAAATTTTTACCTTTTTGAAGTAGTTAAGTAGGGTGCATATTCGAACGTCACTAAAAAAAAATGGGTTGCATTACTTATGTCGATAATACAGTTGCCGCTAAAAGCAATGATGCGGCTCTTAATAAATCGGTAGAAGTTAATATTAATTACCAACCTAAATTAGATAAATAAAAAATACTGCTGAGGTGCCAACAACTAGTTTAGTGCCAATAATTGGGTACTTTACCCTATGATTCCAAACGACGGAAAACATGTAAATATTTTGAATGTGTATAAGAAGGTCATAATTACAATTTTTAGTATTGTTTAATTTTGTGTATATGCATAAGTTAAGTGTATAATAAAGGTTTTTTTTTAAATTCGATATAATATTTGATCAAGACCATTGGGGCCGGCCCCCCAGACATCGCTGCCCCCCCCCAGGAAAAGGCTGACTTTTATCTGTTACAATTTTTTGTTATTACCAAATTTGCAATAGAAATATGTATCATTTACATATCTTAGGTTGCATTTTCAAAATACGAGTAGGTACCTATTTTAAAACCGCCCCTGTAAGCTCGCAACTAGCAATTGTATCTTTTCATAACAACAAACGGTGCAACATGCGCGGTACAAACGGTCATAAATTATATTTGGACCGGCCTCAAGATCACTTTGTAGTGTACTTAGTAAGTATACTACAAGTACTACTTACTCCCTTTCTCACTGGATGGCACCTCGATTTTACAGATAATAAAGAATTTCTATAATACCTACCCTGCGATATTGGTAGACCTGCTTATGTCATTATACTTTTTCGTGTTTCATGGTATCCACGTTTTAAAAAATTAAAATAAAAATGCTAGTAGGTAAATTGCAAAAGGATTTAAAATTTTATTTACATCTAAAAACACAATAATTTAGCGATCAATTGCGCGATTTAGCTGTGAAATTGAACAAAATTTGTCCTCTCTTTTGTGAAAAAATTACTTATTTATTTAAAAATTATGTGTATTTCGTATGCTTTAAATGTAGTGTTGACAATTTTAGAATTCACACAATGCTATCAAACACCACCAGATAGCGTGCGTTGCGAAAACCCGATGCTTCTTTAGCGTATTATACGTATTATAAAATAAATAAAAAAAGTTTAATAAACCTAAGAAATTGGTATACGAGTATAATACTCGTATACCAATTTCTTAGGTTTATTAAACTGTTTTTATTTATTTTATTGTGTCATATAACACAGTAGGTGAAAAATTAAGATGTTCCCGCCTTTTGTTAACCTTTCCATTTTTGAATTAAAATAATTGTTGAAGAAAAGCTGAAATAAAAATTATGTAATACATGTTTAAAAATTATTTTATCTATTTTGCGTTCATAATGACTTCATTGTAACACCGCTTTCGTTGCTTTAGTGAGGTACTTTACCCCACCCAAAATTTTGATTTTATAGGTTGGCTACTTTAAACAGCATACAAATAAAATAATATTTTGCATATTGGTTATAATATTTTTATGATTTTTATAGTACTTACTCTCTAAAAATGAATTAGTCAAAAATGACTTATTTAATAGTTATTAGTGGCTGATTTTTCACTTGTACCATGGTTAACCATGGAATTCCATGGTATCACAAAATGGAACAGCCAATTCTTATGTAAAATTGTCCACTGAATCCGAAAACACCGTCAAAAATTATAAAAGTGGATCAGTTTTTGAGATATAATCAATTACATATTAAATGGAAAATTGAATATATCTCAAAAACTGTTCAACTTTTTTAACTTTTGATGACATTTTCGGATTCAGGGGACAATTTTACATAAGAATTGGCTGTTAAATTTTGTGATATCATGGTATCCCATGGTTACCATGGTACAAGTGAAGAAGCAGCCATTAATAACTATTAAATTAGTCATTTTTGACTAATTCAATTTTAGAGAGTACGAGACTTTTCTGAAAATAAATTTGGTTTAACACCAAAGAAAATCCTTTTTTAATTAACAACCGGTTATTGTAAATAAGTAAATTAAGGACGCTATGGCGAATCGATTTTGACATTAACCCTTCAAACCAATGACTATGATACCAACTATCTAAAGTAAAATTAGACCAAATTAAATATAATGTATAAAATTAATTTTTTTATAGAATATTGCAAAATAGATAAAATAGCATAAAGAACTCATGTTATAAGTAAGATCTTTTGTCGCACTCGTCCATTACAAAACTCGCTCCTTAATTGCTCGTTTTATAAATCGTGCGAAAAAATGACGTCTTATGACATTAGTTCTTTAATATACTATTAATAAATAATTATTGTACCTCGAAAACTATTATATAAATAAAAACTTACATGTATAAATATTAGGGTGTCCGTTATTTACCAAGTTGATTTTTTTTCTTGCGACGCCCCCTAAATTTTTAGTCTATCGTCTAAAAAAAAATTTCAGACCAAAATAAAATATTAATATTCATAATAAACCTTGCCCCAAAGACGATACATTTCCCATTCAAATTACATGGGATTTTGACACTTTTTTCAATTAATTCTTTTTTTCCTAGGCAAGATGACTTACAGCAATGAGACATATATATTCTTATAGTAAATTGAACGCTCTACAAAAAAGGTCTCCTATAATTTTTCGATTAAATCACTCGTTAAAAAGTTCTCTGTGTACATTTTCTGAGTTATTATTATTTCGATGAAAGTTATTAGTATATTTCTGAAAATAGATAATTCTGGTGGTATTAGGGTATACAATTTTTAAACCTGGAAAATAATAGACTGCATAACAGGTTGCTGGTTCTAGTTTTAATCATTTTTGAGACTTTATTTATAACACACAGTCAACTAATTTTTATTGAATTTCAAGTTTTGTATACTTTTATGAAATTTTCCTTCAATACAGTAAGTGACTCAAAATTACTCTTACAAGCATTCCCGCCAACACACGGAATTTTTATTGACGCAAGCGCGCTAAAGCGCATTTAGTACCTTGACGGCGCTTTAAGTCCTTTTAGTATTGTATATTTGTTATATTGTATACAAATATCTCTGCATATTGTTGTGAATGTTGTGTCGTACATTAACAGTAGTTATTTATATAATAAAACTTATTTATTATACACAATAAACAAAATTTAGACTTAGTGCAATTTTTAACATATAGGTAAATAAAAACTTTAAAATTAAATTTATATTGAAAATCTCATTGGAATTAAAATTTTACAAATAGTTCTAACTTATAAAAATTAAGGTTCAATGGATCTAAGACAAAATATATTTTTGATTGGAAAAACAGTTTAAGTTTAATTAGGTACTGGCAAAAAGTTACCAACAAATAAAGAAGTTCTGCAACTACTGTAC